CTCTGTAGCTATTTTAACCCCTTCTTCTCTACCCTTACTACATTTGATGCTGTTGCAGGAGGCATGGATATTACTAGGAGATGAAACGCCTGCTACTATGTTCGTGTAACACCGTCGCGATATGTGTAATTTGTATTATTGACATTTGTGGCCATGCAACATAAAGGAACATGAAATAATCCTCTGGAATGCTATGGTTCTTGGCCATTTTGTTACCTTCTGTTCTATTCTGTACCCTGAATCAGCCATCAGCCATTTCTGTTCTTAAAGGGAAAATTATCATGTTCCTTTTACAGGATTAAAAAGATTTATTGAGTTTCCCTGTAAATTGCAGGGTACAACTTGTTGTGAACAAAATATAGCTGACTCCATTGACTATAGCAGACTAATTTGCAGCCAGAATTGAATTGTGCTCTTAAAATCTAGTTTTAACAGGGTTTTCAGAAATACACTATAGTAGCTTGATTTTTGAATTCTAAGGAAAACCTAAACTTAGTGTGTTAATGCAGTTGTAGTGTATGGATATGGAATGGAAATGTGTTTTCATGAAAACCCAGTTTAAGTTACTGCATTGAACCACTCAATACAGCTGGATTCTCTGTAAATTCCTGATGTCAAGATAATTCAAACACACAATTCTCAGAGACTTCTTTCTTTGAAGCCCATGCAGGGCTAATCCTAACAGGAGGTGCAGGAGAAAGCTATGCTGTATTGTAAGTCTGTAATTTATCTGCTGACTTCAGCATCCACAGAGTGCAAAGCACGTGAGTTCTTTTCTTGTCTAAACTATTTTGAACGAGGTCTCTTTTACATGCTAGTTTGGCAAGCTTCTAAGGCATTTGTGCAAAGTGATGATGCAAGAGCAACCTGATTCAACACTGAGAAATTCATAAATAACATCCAGCAGTTATTAAAGTGAAAAACTACAGCTACAAAAAGCAATCACCCTGCAGTATCAGTTGAGCTACTATACTCTGCAGTGTTAAAAGTGGAATATGTTTACTGGTGCCTTTAACTCAGGAGGTATCGCCGTGAATTTTAAATATACCAAGGATTCATTCTGTTTTATACATAGATTGAATTGGATTAACAGTGATTTAAAAACCATGAATATATACGTAGAGAAAGGATAAGAGTGGAAGAAAAACACAGTGCCAGAATTTTCCATCTGGAAACATACTATACACAAAGTCATTATTTCTGTATTAAAATGAAGAGTTAATTTTGAAGTCAAAATGGTTTAAAATAACTTAGCGCGCTCTATAAGGCCATTCTCAGGAGTCAAGTGCATGATATTCAAGATGGGGATATTTATAAAGGACTTCAGTTTGAAGAACTGGAATAACCCGCTGATGTCGTTACCATCTTGATGAGAAAGTCTGCGCTATTTTCAGTAAGTACACACTAAAGTCACAAAAAGACCCTACAAACTCATCTGGATTTCTCCTTAGATTAGGATAAAATGACAGGTAGCATTCACAGATTCTTACTTGTTCAGTTTTTATGTATTAAAACTTAATCAAGTAGTAGAATTTAGGTAGCTAGTAGTATACCAAACAATGGGTAGGTCTTAAAAGCAGCATTCTGAGGCTTTTTTACTTCATTCTCAAGCTCTCCTCTGAACCACCTGCAGAGCCTGGATTTACTGGAAGGAAAACTTGTTCCTGTATTGCGTAAAACTTTGTACAGCACAGCCTCAGTTCAAAGATGCATTATTTAAAAAAAAAAAAAAAAAAAAAAAAAAAAAAAAAAAGAAAAAATCAGACAAATCTGTTCCTGTCAGGGTACAGCTATGGCCGTTGTGCTGTGGCACATAATCCATGCTTTTCTGGTCTTCAACGAGAAGATGAGGGTAGTTGTGATACTAGTTCATGCTTCAGGCAGGAAAAAGTGGTGGCCAGCCTAAAGCAACTTGAGCCTTAACATAGAAAACTTGTAGAGGAGCCACTCCATAATTTTTGGACTTCACCCTGTGCTTACAGGAATTTCTGTGGTTATGCTTTTGATATCAGCCAGGTGTTGGGGGTATTCAGGTTTTATTTATTTTTACACCTTGGCAAGACAGAATAATTCAACTGTGTTGTGGATTAGTTGATAATGAAGACAGTAATTTGTGAAATTTAGTTCTAGAACTGGGCTTGGATAAAAATGCCCAGGTTTAAATGTGCTTGTGGATTGGATCACCATCTCGCATTCAATTTTTGTCTTTTTGTGACTCTAGTTTTAGGTACTAACCTGTAAACATCACAATATGTAGTCTTACTTAGGAAGTTCGCTGTATGCCTCCATACTAGATACAAGATCTTTAGCAGGACTTCATGTGAGGAACAGTTAAACAAAAGCTTGTATGAATAAGGCACTAGTAAATGTTTGCAGCAAACAACAATTACAGTCTATATTCTTTAAGAATAAAGCCGTTCTGTTTAGGAAATTGCCTTTAATATGACAGAGTTACCAATGCCAGTTAGAAGGGGGTTAGAGAAAGTGCATCTTTTGGATTATGCCTGTGAGGTCTGTGAGAAACCACTGAATGCAAATCCCTGTTAAGTTTGGAAATAGCCTGTGCAATGGTCATATTTAGGAGAGCTAAAGCAAGAGGAAACTGGTCTAGATTCTGGTCCCGGCTAAACCAATGTGAAATCACTGTGATGGATTTGGTCTAGGTTTATTTGCATTGGTAAAGGGATCTAAAGCCAGAATTGAGGCCGTTATGGCAAATCTAGTTAAACGGTAACATTGGCTATAATCCCCTTAAACAGCTTCAGAAAAGAATCTGAAGCTAAAGATATTTATCTAAAAATATTTTTAATTTCCTACTTGCTGAAGTCCAAGGATGCACTTTGTCTTTTGGCTAATGTAACAGACCAAAGCCTTCTGTACTACTTTGGAGCTGCTGCCGTTCTAAACAGTTACTAAAATATCAATCCATACGTTATACCAAATGAAACTTGAGTCTGCCAGTCCGTTTGTAGGATGGCTGACTGCTATTTTGCATTAAAGTGGTTCAAAAAAACCTCCAAACTCTTTCATTCATAAAAACAGAACATACTGCCACTTTTAAAATGTACTTTTATGTATCAGCTCTTTGGGGGGGGGTCACTGAAGCACCAGAATTTGATAATCAAACCAGTAAGAATTCATTTGTAAACTAATGGATCTGGTTAATATTCATGATTGTATTATCCTAGGATCTGTCCAGTAAAACTAGTCTATCCGAATCATTCATTTGGTATACTAAATGGAAGGTCAGTGGTAATTCCACAGTGATTTCATCACTAGATCCTGCTCTGTCAACAGACAGCTTATCTCTATCACCTGACAAATTTCTGTTCCACTCAGATCCTCCATTATTTGTACAAGATGTTATTTAAAAAACAACACATTTCTAGTATCTGTAATGCAAGAGGGAAAATTTACATTGAATCATTCTTGTATATTATTGCCATCAGGTGCTACAATTAACAACCCCAGACAGTGGGGGTTTTTTGTTTGTTTGGGGTTTTTTGTATCTTATATAAGGGCTTGGTATTAAGTTTATCTCAAGTTTTAAGATAACCCATCCATGGAGACCTCTGAGGATATACAAAGATCTCAATCTGCTTTTAAAAGTGGTGGGGTTTTTGTTTGGTTTGGTGGTTTTTGTTTTGTTTTTAGCTTTGACTCAAGACTAAATTGATTGAGGGTAAAACTCGGCTGAAATTTTCACCAGAAATTAATCTGGACTAATATTTATTAAACAAAACCCCCCAACAAGTAAATTAAATTCTGGGGATCTCTCTCCCATACTTGCTATACATATTCTCTAAATTACACATAAAAGGAAGAAAATACAGAAATTTGTCTTCACAAAGATCTTTCCTTCATAGGAACTCAGGAAACATTTTCTTTTTAGATATTTGTTTTTTACATGAATGTCAAAAGAGATGCTTTTCTATGTGTGTGTAGGCTAATAAATGTATGTGTTTATCTGAATATTAGAAAATTTTATTAAGCATCAGAGCTGTGCAGAATCTTTTTTGTAAAAGTTGACAACTTAAAAAAAATTTTTGTTATGTCATTATTTTAGGTAAATCTTGGCAATTGCAAAAGAAACAAACATTCTTTGTCAAAAGTGTGCCTTTTGCGGTCATAACTAGTTTTGTTGTGTTTCTCTAGCTGACAATATGAAATTGTGCACGTTACTTCCTAAGCTGTGCTTACTTTTAAAAAAAAAAAAAAAAGCTATTTTAACCTTGTAAATGAAACCTGCGTTTTGGAACTCAATGTGAGTTTTTAACTTGTCCTTAAGGTCAAGATAGTGCATTAGGACATGGTTGGATTTTCTTTCCTTTTTGCATACTGCCTTTGAAGTGTGCCTTCAGTAACATACTGCCAGGTGAGAAAAGTCTGTATTTTGGAAAAAGTTCTGTGAATCTTTAACAAAATGCAGAACGCAGTTTGTTTTCATGGCCATATTTCTTCAACAGAAACAGAGGGATAGTAATGAAATATTTTTATTGCGAAAGCTCGCAATTTTATAAGATATTACAGCTTATAAATATAATAATATTATATTATAATATAATATTATAATATAATTTGTTATAGTATATTATTATATTTATAAATATAATAGCTTTTATAAGCTATTAGAGCTCGGACTGGAGAAAAATCTGTTGTCAAACATTTTAATGTATTTTTTTTAAAGAGTAAATTCACACTTTTACAAAGCAGTTGCTTCTTGGTGCAACTGAGTTGTGTTTGTAGAGGTACGCTATTAACATCTATTGGCCTAAAATGAAGGCATCGTATTTCTGTTTGTGCTGATGTATTCACCTATATGGATGAAATTTTAACAAAAAATGCCATTTCACTTTTTTTTTTTTTTAAAGTAAAAGTTAGGAAAGAAAAATCTTCCAGGTGTAAAACCAAACAAAAGGACTATATGATTGTTTAACGACAGTTATTGCATGATTCTGCATAACCCTTGACCTTCCTAAAAAGCAGTATTTGATTTTTTGATATATGCATTGGTTCGATAATGAGTCATCATGCAACTGCTGACTCACACTTGATAAATATTTCACTTGGGGAAGAAATTTTGAGATTACCAAAAAAAAACCAAAACAAAAAAACAGCCCTAGGTCTTTGTTATTAATCCAGAGATTTTCACTGTTAGATGGAAAATGTATAACTGGAAATAAGTATTATGTTAAAAGGAATCCACATTACTTTTATAAATAATCCATTTATCTGAGAGGCTTTAGGAATTATGACAAACTTGATGAGGCCACCTGAATCCGTCAAAACTTTCTTGTACTTTTAGGAGATGAATGAACTACCAGTCATGTAACTCTAAGGTATTTTAAGGCTAGTTAGAAGACACGAAAGAGTAATAACTGAAACTAAATGTTCAAAACTGGGAAGTATTTGCATGACTGGGTATTTATTTAAAGGGAATGATTTATATGGGTGGAAGTTTGCTTATTTCTTTATGTTTGCTAATACAGTAAACCTACCATCTACTTGTATGTCAATAATAACTGATCTTAGAATGCCATTTCATTTGAATCTTGGTTTTGCCTCAAGCTTCATTTGAGCCAGGATAGCAATTAGGAAAAGTCCTAAAACTAAAACAGAAAAATTGACACATGCTGTTAAATTCAAACACAGAACATTAAAAGTAACATGGAAGCAGAAATGACATTCAGTGTCAGAAGTAACAAATTTGAAAGTCTTAAATAATTCAATATAGAGAATATAGTTCAGACATTTTATATAAGTGTGCTTTTTCCTAAAAACACCCCCCCCAACCAAACTTTTTTTTTGCTTTTTCTTTAAGTCTTTTGTCTGTAAATATGAAAGAGGGCTACACCCCAACGTAATTCTTCATTGCCATACTAAACAGTAAAACAGTCTTTCTAATTCACATTGCTCATGGCAGTCTTATTTGATGTTGCTTTATTAAGTTTGTGATTAAAGCAGTTTGGGATTTTTGTTGGTTGTAAACTTTTGGCATAATGTGAATACCAGTCTCTTTCAAAAACAGCCTTGAGTTGCTTAATGATGCTTGTGCTGTTCCCCACGTCTGCTTGGTTGATAACAAGGCCAGCTCCAGCATTCTGCGTAAAAGCATTTCCTACCCAATCAAAATTACCTACAAGTAAAGGCAGGAATATACAATGAGTTTCTAACATTTAAAAAAAAAAAAAACAAAAAACCCCGCGATCTCCCTAAAGGCAATCAAGCATGACACAGTATCATTTTCCCCAGTACCTGCCTGGGCAGAGATGGAAATAAGTTTTCTATACAAGCAGGAAAGAAAATTTCATTACATACCAGTGTGTAGTGCAGAACTTTTCTGGAAGTTTAACATCTCTAACCCTTCATAAGTGAAAACAGGTTATTCTATTTATTCCAAGTGACTTGCTCTTCCTTTTGCACACACTGTATTATTACCCCATTTACTTTCCTCATCGGCCTTTTCAGTGACAAGAATGAAAATAATTTCCGCCATATAAACAATTAAAAGTAGATGGGATGGAGAGTGGTTGCTCCATAATGTTGAGCCAAACCAACAGACCTTTTACAGGTTACCCACCGATAGACACTATTTCAGGAAAGAAAAACAGGTTTTTCCGTTTTATGCCCATTATTACCACCTTTGCTGAGGTAATGAATGAGCATTGTAAATCCTGGTGATTGCAAGGCAAAGAGGATAACTGAATTAATGGAAAACAGGTAAACCAAGTGTTTCAGTCATTTCTTTTTATTTCACTAGAACTATAACTATTTAAGTTGTACATTTATAACACATGCAGTATTTTGGAGAAAAAATGCTGTTACTAGAGGTCATTATTTTAAAACAGTATCTGAACATAAAAAACCCATGAAAATATCTGAGAAATTTATACCCTTTCTTTCACTGTCACTTCAGCTACTTCAGCAGGAAATGTTTTCTAAAGTTGTCAAGGATGGTAAATTGGAGCCTCATCATAAGAGACATTTCTTCTCATGCTTTCAAGTAAAAGATGTATCAGGTCCATAGCATGCATCTGAATTCCTTTCACACAGCTTTGATTATCTCTTTCTTTTTATATAAATATATGAGGATGTAAAGAGAATGCAAAAGAAAAAAAACAACCCAGCTAAGAATCCATGCTGTGTAGACAAGTTATAAGTTACTGAAATCTGATCTGGCTAGTGGAAGGAATTTAAAATGGAGTTAAAAAAATGGGGGGGGGGGGGGAATAAGCTGCACTATTTGAAGTGAAAAATAAGATTTGTACATCTTGAAAGGTGAGTGTGTGTGTTTAGAGCCCATCAAGGTGAGCTTTTCAGAGTAGCTCTTCATTGTATCTCTGCAGTATTTGGGATTCTCCATTCTTCATGCATGCACAGGGCACACGCTTCTGGGTTGCAGCCTTTGCCCTCGCTCACCACTTCTGCGATCGCTGGCTTTAAGCCCTTCGCAGTAAGTCAGGTGAGGAAGTAGCAAATGAAGCACCAAGCTGCAGCATATTAGAATGTATGCTATCTCCCTTGACTTCATAAAATCCCATGACTTGCTTTTTAATTCAGGGGCAGTTTTCTGATTCTGCAGCTCACAAACAGCTCAAGCAGTCAGTTGTTGTGTTTTTCGTTTTTTTAAAAAAGGGAGTTTTCAGCCTGCATTCAATGAGCATTTGACTGATGATGAACTTCTGCTAGGTGTCATACAGAGACTTTACTTAAACACACCTTTAACCCCAAATACCAATTAGATATGTATCCAGTGTTAGGAGGGCATCTGAAATGTCATTGCAGTAAATGGGAGAAGACTTCAGAAGGTGAGGATGAAAGGCATTTGTACAGTATTTACCAGGATTGACCATAGCTTTAGTAGTAACATGGCAAATGAAGAACAGTCCATCTTCACTGGATTGCAGAAAGAGAACATGTTAATAATCCAATTTGTTCCTACTTCATAAAGTGTGTTGTATTTGTGTCTTCAGTCTGTTTTTAAATACTGAAGGCAGAATGTTGCTTTTGAGAAACTGATTCATAGGGAAAAACAGAGTTTTTAAATGAGAACAGGCTCAAATCTCAGCCTACATCCAAGTTTCCAAAGAAAGGAATTATTATTCTAATTTAACTAGCATATCAGCTGTAGATTCCTCATTTACAAATGGGTGTTATTTCAAGATTTTGGCTACAAACTAGAATTTCTTGCGATGTGGTTACTTACCAATGTATGCAGCTCCATCGGTCACCATATATTTGTTACGATTTAATCTGGGAAGAGAAGTGTTCTTCTGTTCTTTAAGAAAGCATGCACTCTCCTCCTCAAGGTCAAAGAATTTCTGCCATAAAATAGAATGGAGTGCAGGTTAATGAGAACTGTTCTATAATGGACAGAAAAGATATGGTCTGTTCTCTACTCTTTATTGAAAAGGAGTCAGTGCTACAGAACAGCTTAAGCCAAGCATTAATTTAATAAAACACTGCACGTTGTATTTCTTACTAAATTCTCATGGTTTGTGATGCTCACTATGCATTGGCTTTCTGACCTACACAAAGTATATGGTTACCACATACTAAAAGCAATACAGTGCCAGGTAGTAATGGCTATGAAATGACCAATAAAACCCTGTCTTTGTGTTCTGCATGGTAAGAGCCAGGAACTTTTCTTTAGCTCATTTCCTCACTCATCAAGGGACACCAGGGTTTGAAGTCTGCTTCAGGACCCGGACTGGCAGGCACACCAACAGCTGAATTAATACCTTTACATTTCATGTTGCATAGTTTCTAACAGGCAACTTGATGATTTCAGAAACTTCAAAAATTCTCAGGATTAAATCTGATATGGAGAGATCAAATTTACCAGACAACAAAAGGAAAATGCATTTATTTAACCTTAAAGAGTGAAGTCTGAGTCAGATTTTTGGGGTTTTCTCAATTTTGGACCTATGTGCACCCCTTGTCTAGATCAGTGCCAGACAAAAATGAGACTTCCAGTACAAATCTAAGTATTGTTTGATTCACCAAGGAAATGAATAGCTAGACACAGATTCCAAAACCAGAAGTAGAGAATAACATGATGAAGGAAAAATTAAATATTTACTGCATGACTGGGAAACTTTGATTGAGGTAATGGTGTAGATCTTCAGGACAAACCTAATTCACAATATATTACTGATGAAGGTAACTGACTATAATTTGCACCCACTTAAGACATTATAAAATAGGATTAAAACACACACATACACCCCCAACTCCTTCAGCATGCTCGGGGGTCTGTTTTCCATAGTGCAAAATTCATCTCTTGAACCAGTGCTTTTTTTGATATAAGCCTTGAACAAATCCTTTTAGGTTATGGAGATGCCTTTCAGAATAATCTTACTGTTTGGAAAACCCAACTGTAAACTACTGAAGTGTAGTGATGTTGGCGGTAGACTACATCATCAGTTTGATTAAATTAAATAAAGGTCTATGCACAGCACACAGGCAGTTAGTTTTATAAAGCATTCTTTACCCAGCTGCTGATGTAGGTGGGTTTCAAGCTGGTTTGCAGTAAACTGCTCGACTATTGCAAAATGTGGTGTTACTGATTACCAGGAATGGCAGCTTTAGGTTTTATACACTGGTTGCTTCAGAACTGTACTTCTAAATATTAATATAAAATTTATTTATATAACAATATTTATAAATATTAATTAAAAAATTTCTCATCTTAATCATCAGTCATGAACATTATAGTTTGGTTTGTCTTGGAGAACTCTCCTCTAAGCAATGAAGAGGCTTATCTGTAATGAGTATGACCAAACCTAATTAAAAGGGTTTAGTTGCAGACAAAAGGTAGGTAGGGTAGTCCAGATGCTGCTGTTTATCTAAGGCCTTATGCTGTGAACTCTGTTGGAATCTCTCTCTTCCTCACTGGAAAATATATTGGGGTAGATTTTATGTTGTCAGAGGTTGTACCAAAACTGTTTGGAAGAACTCTGTTTAAAATATCAAGGCTGGTTCAGGCTCCTGCTGATTCCAGCACTGAGGAAACTCTCTGATCTTGGACTGACAAATCGCTCCTCCTCAAAACAATGAAAGTTTATTAGGGGTGAAGCAGGTTTCTAGTGCATTAGAAATAAAATTTGAACAGTTTGTGTTTTTTCAGTCTCCAAATACTGGATGGTAGTGCTGTGTGCAGTTTTATGATCGATAACTATCATGGAGCTGTTTCCTTAAACAGTCTCTGAATTTCCTATGTCACCACATGATTACTTACCTGTACATGGCATTGTTATCTTCCACAGCTTAACTTTTTGTAATGAGTTCAAATACTAGCAAAGTTCCAAAGACAGTTTTTTTGAACTTAAAAACAAGCACAACAACCCAAACTGAGTGATTGCTTTACAAAGAGCATCAAAAAGGTTATTCTATGTACAACTGTAGTATCTAGCCTTTAAATGAGATTTATGTTGTAAATTCACATCTAACTAAGCTGTATGGAGAACTCATACTATGGATTTTAACATCATTAACAATTATATCATTATACTTAAAAAAAAAAAAAATCTTAGCAGCTGTAAAGAAAAGTTTACTAGATATTAGGGGTGAGTTTTTGGTCAAGACTGCAACTGTGTGCCTGAGGAACTGCTCTACAAACATGCACCCACCACAGAAAGGATGTACATAGCAAGCTAGAGATGGATCTGAAGCTTTCTGAAAGGGTCTTGAAATTTTGGATAAAGCCAGAAGAAAATTGTAATGTTTTTCCTGGTGCAACAAAACAGGAACAGAGACAGTTTGCAGCCACAGGGTGCCCATCAAGGGTACTTGCAGCAACTCTTCACAGGGATGTGGAAGATACTATGTGACTAATACTAACATTGAAGGGAATAGTCTGAGTCGGGCAAATGGGAAAAGTATTTAATGCTAGGAAACAAAAGGTAACAAGCTGTCTTCTTCCCAGTGTTACGAGATTTAGTAAAAACCTTGATGTAAAAATAGTCAAGCACAATAATCATGTAAGCTTAGAGTTGTCAAACTGAGACAGATTCAGCAGATGTGCTGAACTGAAAAATCATACATTAGTGTTCTGTTTGTATAACTTAAAGAGAAAATTTCAGAGTCAGGCAGGAAAATATAGAAGGCTTGAAAACGTAATGTGTTCTCCAGCAATAGCAGAGAAGCCATTAACTCCTTGACAAGACAGATACCACTAGGAAAACCCATCTGCCCTCACAAAGAGAGTAAACAAATGTAGCTTAGATGAGCAAGTGAACCAGCACTGACATTTAGTAGCACAACCTAACATTCTCCAACACACGCCTTCCGCAGAAGTACTCTGTTAATAAAACACCACATTCTGCTAACATTTCATTAATCTTTTCCATGCTTATTTTAGGAGCTTAGAACTTTAAAATTAAATTAGCGCTTCGGACCAAAGGTTTCACAGTTAATCCATAACACTTTGTTTCCTTGTAGGGCATTTCTGACTTTCTGAGAACTAGTGAAAGGTTCAGTTTTTCCTTCCTCTTAGCAGGATACACCTGCACAATGCAAAAATAGATTCATGTGGAGGCTCAAGAACAACTTGTGCTGTAGATAAGCATCTGTTCTATGCCACTCCTTCCCGGTTTCCAGTTGTCTAAAGACAATTTGTCCTAGTTCACGCTTTCTGTGGGCCCTTCAAAACCATGCACCTTTCTCTGTTCAGCACTGTACCTGACAGAGCTGGCCCATTTTTACTGCTCTTTTGAGAGTCAGACTGAGATGTACTTAGAGGGTCAAGCACACACAATTTAAGGAGTACTGGAATTACGGTCTCAAGAAGCACAATGGTGAGCTCTTCATCTTGAGTTTACCCTTTATGATTATTCAAGCTTTAATTTCATGACCACAAGTGGTTCAGTGCATAGCACAGTGGTCCTGGAATAAGGAGGTGTTTGGTATGCAGTTTACTCCTTGACATATGTGCTTACAGCATTTATTTAGTCCTCAAACAAAGTTTTTTTTCCTTGTGCCTTCTTCCCAGTGATCATTTTTTCAGAGTACTTGTATTGAGTTTGCACTCTCAAAGGAGTTTCAGTTGAATCCAATAGTTATTAATGCTTATGTGAACTGGACTCTGAGTGAGATGCTGAAGAATGCGTAATGAGGGACTAAGCATTTTCTAACTGCACTAATGATGTTAATTGCCCAGTATTATCAAGGTTTTGTGGCAGAAGAGAAAGAAAACCTGCTTCTAGATAGAGCACACTGTTACAATTCAGTGTTTGCAACTAGGAAATTGTGTCTTGCAGTTCCTGCCTCCCTGACCTCAACTGAAAAATTACATGCACAGCGCTTGGTGGCTGGTTTTGATCAGGACACTGCTAGGCATAACAGGTTTGCAGTCCCTGTTGCTAACTATATACTTGCAGTTAGGCAATACCAAAACTTCCATTAGCCTGGTCAGAGACCAGGGGAAATCAGGAGGAGAGTCCCATCTAACAGAGAAATTATATCTGTGCAGCCTCCTCCAAGATGACGGTGTAACTCGGGCTGCTGCCATTGGCAAAACAGTGTTCCCTGTGAGCTAAATGAAAGAAAAAAGTTACTGAATATGCTTTGTAGTACTCAGGTATATTATCCTCAGGAGAACAGAAGTAGGGGGTCAGGGGTGCCAGTTCTGTCAGAACAATATTGAGGCATTGGGACAACTTAGGAATTTTAAGTATAATTTCAGTCAGAACTTGTAACTTCACATTCTCCTAAAATTTCAGTGTTCTTGTGTATAAACAAATACATTACAGTATTTTCTGTACAGAGTTTTGTTTGACTTTTCTCATACTCAAAGCAGAACCAAAATGGAAAACATAATATTCCAATAATTCAAAAGGTTCAAGTTTAGTTTTTACCTTGTTAGCCTATTCTTTCTCCCCTCCTCCCCATTTTTGTTTCCCTTTGATCCTGGCTAGAACAGATGAATACAAAAGAAATGCAGTTTTAAAAAAACAGTGCTCATCTGACATACTCTGTGAAGTAAAGGAGTGTTGTGATGGAGCCTGTGGCACAGTTTCAACCAGAATCAAATAGATACCAGTAAACTCTGAGCCTTGGGCGATTACTTGTACCAAGGCTTATTTAAGGCATTGACATACCCAGCGTGTGGAACACATGATGCACAGCACACAGGTACTGCGGTGTGTTGAACCTTTACGACAAAATCTGCGGCAGTCTCATTTTTTTACTGGAGGTTGTATTTGTATTATCTAACTCCAGATATTCTAGCTAGACTATCTACCTAGAATAGATGTCTAGAAAGATTTTTTTTTTCCTTTTAGCATTTCGTTCTTGACAAGATAAATTCTGTACTAAAGATTTTACCTGCTGTAAATAGATGGAAACATATATAAGTACGTAGAGCATTAGATGCTGATTAAATAAAAAATAATTTTAGAAACATAAATAGAATTTTGATAATAAATATGGAACAAGCTAGAAGTTACTCAAAATTGAGTGTCAGACACGTATGGACTTTTTGTCTTAAAAACAGACTTTGCGCTGCTTCGTACCTAGGAAACTTGTAATAACAGTGTATGTTACAAAAAAATTCCCTGTTTCTAGATATGTATAAATACCACCTAGTGTGTATAACACAATCAGTACTTTTTTTTTTTCCCCAATTGTTACTGATTTTAAAAAGACAAAATGATTTAGTGGATTATCAATTTAAGAAGTGAAAATAATACAGCAGATTATTTAAAACAGTTATCTGCCAAAAAATCCCCAAAAGAAATCCAATCCAAGATGAATTGATCCAAGATGGCTGATTCCCAGGTGCCTCAGTTCCATAAAAATGAACTGTATCGAGCTGAAAGTAGTACTTCACCATGTACCCTGTTCTCTAATACATATGGTATTTATCACTTTCCTATATTGCATGTCTAATGTGTTCACATGATAATTGTTCTAGTCTTCACAATTCTGAATTCATAACCTGAATGTAATGTAAAATCTTCATTATTTTTTCTTGTACTCTGTACTTGATTAAAGGAAAAGCAGATGCTTAGGCAGCTGAACAGTAAGGTTACATGAATCCAGACTGAAACACATTTTTGTGCTGTCAGATTTACTCTTATCAGCCACTATAAACAAGACATATGACTACGGTTCTGTTAGCTTTGCTGTGAAAGACCAGATGTAGTGTTTTACACAGGCTGTCCGCCATACAGACTGCCTTTTGGCATCATTCTATTTTTCTGTCTTTATTTCTATGTCTGTTACTACTAGGCATATATTCAGTTCACTATACTACATTTCCTGGGTTATTTAATGAAATGTAAAGATACTAACAGAAAACACTTCTCAGTTGTGAAGTTTTCTTGTTTTTTTGGGGGGGAGGTGAGTGGGAAATACCAGATTTCAAAGCAATATGGGTTATACTTACAACTTTCAAACTACAGCTTGGAACTTCAGTGCAAATAGCTTTCAGAGATGAAACAAAGTTAAAAGTAAGGGGATCTGTGTCTCTTGAGAAACTTATGAGAAGTCGTACTTTAATACTCCGTAAAACTAATGCTTCTCTTATCTTCCCATCTAAATATGGCCAGTACCTGTGGAGAAAGAATACAATATATTCAGAAAATTTAAAAAATGTTGAATTTTTATGCAGCCAAGTCTAGACATCATAGAGAAAACTAAACACATGTGAATTTCATTTTCTGTCTGTTGGAGGAATGCTGTTCGATTTAGCGCTTAAGGATATGCTGTAGGTGGGAACTGTGCTAAGCAAACGGTTGGACTAGATGATCTCCAGGGTCCTTTCCGACCTAGATGATTCTGTGATTTTGTGATTCTGTGATTCTCATCTATAGGGATCCTCACTGAACATATCTGCCAGCATCCTCTTCTGTGTCATTCTGCCCTGCACGAAAACTGTCACTGTGGGAACGGTGAGGTTGTGAATGGTTGACCACATCTTCCATCTGTGAAGGTGCACAGAGAAATGTCAAAACACTCGCACAGATTACAGGTACCTTGGCTACCCGTAGCTGGAAATGTTACTCCTGTGTCACTGCCTGCGGTGCGAGCAGTGCAGAGCTCTTGCGGTGCCAGAGAACCAGCAGAATGAGCTACAGCTAGAGGGTGCTGCTTACCCAGCACAGACAAAGGGACAAGGAGGATTTTTTGTTGGTTACACCAGTAAGGGAACAGGAACCCTGGATCCCTCCCTGACTGACATTCTTTTTTTTTTTTTTTTTTTATGTACTAGGACCGTACAGGCTGGGGACTGGGGAATGCCTTCTGTAAACTCTTGCTGGGGAAAAGGAGACCTGCTGCTATGCATGGTGCCTGCATTGTTCCGCAGCAGATGAAGATGGGTCATTTAAGGAGGATGCTACCTTTTTTCCTGATGAGGATTGCAGAAGTTCTGCTATGAATAGGGTGGTGGCTTCCAGGGTGCTATTCTCACAATTGCTAGTTAGCTTTGTGTTCCTGATCTTTGGTGGGAGTAGGTCAGGACAGGGAGAATTAGACAAAGAAAATGGCATGTTTTCTTTATTCCAGCAGCATCAAGGCATTCAGCCTAATGAAACCTGAACCCTACAATGTCAGAAAATAACTTATGAGAGAGAACTAGGAGCTGACAAAGTAGAGAAGCTGTGGGAATGCCTCAAACACAAAGCCATGCTGTAAGAAAAATGTTGACGAATTCACACAGGTGGCTTTCCTGGATCTCCCTAATGCAGTACATTTCTGAATTCTTCAGAACAAAGTGAGGAGGAGTACAGGAAATAACATCAACTGCAATGCTGTAATCGTTTTACATACTAAGACCCAGTCCATCATAAAGGCAAAGCGCAAGGGATGCATATGTGAAACTCAGGTTCCTACAGCAGTACCCCTGATTCTTTCATTGTGCAAGAGTCTGTACTTAAGGAGTTTGTTGAAAAAACCCTCTTACAGAGTTGAAACAGCTTATGCTTGATATCAGTCAAATGATATTATGTTTTTAAAAATTTGAACAAAACACCTTCAACTGTGCAAAACTGGAAAAAAGCACATAACCATGTGTTTAGTTTGGCTTAACTGTTGTTCAAATAAAGTGATTGGATGGAATGGTGAGGTTTGCTAGATGCTCAATTCATTGTGTTATTGAGAGTAGGAAGGACCACTGGATACTTGCCTTCTGAGTTGGATGGTTTTATTACCATCCAGGGTCATAAGTGCTTTTTAATGATCCATACAAACAGGGTGTTGAAAAATTACTTAGATTTGTTTGTTCTTAGCAACTCTCAGATAACCAAAATGTGATATAATTCAAATGTAATCTGTGCTGAATTTGGAATGTTCACGTACATGTATAGTTCAATAAAATAATGACATCTCCCATGTTGTATACAAGAACTTACAACATGTTATTTCTCTCAACACACACACACACACACACACACTCTCTCTCATGTTGAATATCTGCATGATACTCATAAAATGCCAGAAGCTGTGGTATCAAGGTAGTGAATATAATAGTGTAAGAAATAGGACTGATGTATAAGGAGGTTCTTGTATTCCTGGGTCCCAGTCACTTGCAGATGGTCAGACTAGACAATTTCTGATCTCCTTCGATAGGCAGATCCAAAGCTTAGGACCCAGAACTGGAAATGTCTTCTTAGGTCCCAATTCTGCTCCCATTTAAGTCAATGGCAGAACTCTCACTGATTTCAATAAGAGCAGAATTGGGCCCCAAGAAATTGGTCCACAGTAGTAATTAATCTCCCGTGGGTTCATTTTCTCCAGCAGACCTCACTGGCATTATGATAACCTGCCAGTCCTGGACATGGACACTCACCGTTTAGCATTGGTGTCAATGACGATCGGCAAGTAGTCCATGACAGCTATGTATACAAACTGTTTCGCATCATCGATTACACTGTATATAGCTTCAATATCCAGGACTCTGTCCTTTGGGCAGAAGAGTTTAGGTGAATTCTGTGAAAGGAAAAGTTCAAATATGGCATTTAAAATACATGATTTATTTTCTCTTCCCCTCATTCTTCTTGAGATGGCAAGAAGTATCCTTTATTTTAGTAGAGAGTACTAACTGATACCTTCGACTGTCCTGCTAGAATACTTAAAGGTACAAAGGAGAGCTATTTGCTTAATTTCCCCTTGAAAGCCTCACCATTTAGAGGTAACTGTGGGTAAAATGCAGAAGACATAAACTTCAAAACATCCGCTGTCATCAAAGAAGCTCTAGTTGAGGTTCCATTTCAGAGAATTTTGTTCCAAAGAGTCCCAGGACTGGTTACTATTAGATGGAGATATACCTGTGTTCTTGCCACATGAGCCTGATCCATCAATGGCAAGCAGGTACTAATCTGTTTGAGGTCCCACACAAAGTCACCATTTGCTCAGTCACTGTTGCATGGAGATGCTGCAGTTTTGCAAGAAACTTGTGTTTAAAACCTAGCTTCAGGTATACATTAACTGTTTACCTGGTACCGAGCTGGTAAGTGGGAAGCCCAGATTTCAGCTTTTCTGCCTTGTACCTAGAGCTGTCGAATGTGTCAGGAAGGTGAAGCCAGCCCAGCAGGAACCACCTATCTGTGGCAGAGAGTCCCAGGACTTTCTGCTCTTCTGCCTGAGCAGGAAGCGAGAAGTGGAACCACCTGACAAGTTGCTCACAGTCAATGACACGGCTCCTAGGGGTAGAAGTTGCTGAAGGCACTTTATCAAGTTGGAGCAGGTGCCACTTGTCCTTTTCTTAACACTTGGCCCTGCCAGACCCTGCTGGCCTTCCTGCTGCTGTATCACCTTCTCACCTTTGTTATCTGATTGGGTTGCAGCTGACATCTAGATCAGTATGTTTTCTTTGGAGACAGATCCTAGGAGTTTGATTAGTCTTTTCTTTCTATACAATGCCTCTCACAGGGGTTTCTTAATCATTGACTGGTGTTCTTAAGGATTTACTACAACTGAGTTCAGAAACTACTAGAAGAGTAAATGTAGCAAGATTTCAAGACCAATATTCCAGATCTGTTCCTGAATGCTAAAACCAACCAAAACCTCTTATATTTTATCAGCCAGTCTGGAAGACGATTTTGTTGCCAAGCAACACTAGGCCATGATTCCTGAGTATAAGAAAAAAAAATAATCACTGACTGTGTCTTATGTTTGTTGTTTTATACAGCACATTCAAAGTGAAATACATTTTTAAAGAATGAGTTTTGAATCAAGAAAAAGTGTAAAGTGATTTTGTTAAATATAATTTACATCTATTGTCTGAAACTTTTAGGAGGTTATTGCACTGAGATTTTATTCTTACACTCTTACTGTTACCTTGAGCAGAAGTTTTAAATTACAGAACAGCTAAAGAAAGGAATTCTCTGCATTGACTTTTTCAGATGCGTTCAATATAAAGACTAGAAAGTGAAAAACATTTAGAAGATAATTAGAAAAAAAACCTTCTGTTAAAGCTTTTACAGTAACAACATTCTACTTCTTACCCTGTGGCACGGCTGACTCCCCCTGTGGTCACAGAATACTGTAGTACTTTTCTCCATATTAGTTGTATAGTACTTGCTGTTCTGATCAAATACCTACATGATACTCAGCTTCACCTACCAGAAATCGGCCTTATTCTCACTGGGCAAGAGTACCTTGCCATGCCCCTGCTCGGGGGGGAGTGCCATCCCAGACCCAAAGGTCTCCCACAGAAGATGATGCTCCCAAAGGAAGGTGATGCAGGGCTGGGGAGGGAGTGGCGCTGCACTGGGCAAGGGCAGCACCACCACCCCTGCCCATGGGTAGGGCAGAGATGGCAGTAAGAGAACTACCTGGCTTGCAGAGACTTTCTTCTTATTAGTCCAGGAACAGACAGCAATGTTAACACTGTCTCTACCAAACCAGTCCAGTGCAACTCCAGGCCTGTCTTTCAGAGGGACATGCTTGCAAACATTAAGAATCTGCTAGTAGGTGAAAAATTTATTGAAGACCCTGTTTTCAGAAAGGAAAAAACAGCCCAACTGGCTGTGGCTACAAATTAAGGTAGCTCTTGGAGTGGGACTCCACTGGTCTGAGCTTCTGAGTACCAGTGACTCCTTCCTTTTCTTTTGTGAAATGGAATTTCAAAAGAGGCTTTTGTTGCCCACACAAAAGGAAAATACAAATCACAGGGAGGAAGTGAACGTTCTGCAAACTGCAGAAGAGCAATTTTTATAGAGCCTCTCTACCGGTCTTTGTCTAGGATCCCAGACTCCTTAAAGTTGGCCTTACACAGCTTTCCTTAGTGTGCCCCTCCAGGACTGGCTCTCAGCAGAATTTCTCCTTTTCTTACAGATTGTTTAGAAGGGAGTAGGAGTTCATTTCACAGCTCCTTAGCTAACTGTCCAAAACTCAGTCTCTAATTTAAGCTAGTTCTTAAAACTCTACAGAATCAATGAAAATGTATGCCTCTTCAGATGGCTATTAATTCCGGCTGTGTTAGGCACTTCCAGATTTTTAGCCCAAAATAGCTCTTTGTGTCTCCACTGATTGTAGGAGTGTGAAAAATCCTGGACACCTGAATGCTGCCTGGCTCCCAGCAGGTGAAGGTAAACCCTGCCCTGTATAACCACTCATCTGCACCATCCTTCCGTGCTGGTGGCCATACAACTTAATAGTGTGCTACATGCCTTGTGCTGTTTTAGACATAGGTGGCTATAAAGCAAAAGGGTTTTGCCTCTTGTTGTATACAAGAATTGTAAATAACTCTTAGCAACTTCATTATATTCCTGATTTTGAAGGGATCGTTTTTACTCATGTAATTACCTCCAAAATGAAAGATACTCCACATCTTTCATCATCTCCATGACTCTATGTATTTTTTTCCAGTTTTGCTACATCACTGCTGAGATGGAAGTCCACTCCATTTCTTCCCATAAAAAATACACACAGACAGTGCTTCCATGGGGACTGCTGCTTGAATTTTGTAAGTTTTAAATGTAATTTAAAAATAAAGTTAAAGTAGAAGATATTCTATAGAAGTATGAATGCTTTCAATGGAACAGGGTGAAGAGGATTAATCTTTATAAATGACACTGATAAAAATGAAAGCTCTGATATCAAGCTTATTCTGTATTATTTTGGATGTCTGATCAACAGTGCATTTACTCCCAAGTCATTCACCTTCTATCTACTAGTGTAAATAAATAACCAAGTCTGAAGGGCCTCCCTATAATTTTTTGAATGTAAGAGGAAAAGCTGTGAACATTACAGAGAAAGGGAAAAAGAATAATACTGAAATGAAATCCTGCAGCATCTTCAGTCCTGGCAAATTGTATGTATGAACAATGTCACAGAAGTCAGAATAATAATAATAAAAAAAGTATTGTGATTTGTCTGTTCTGCATCACAGGGAAAGGCAAATGACTTTCAAAACACATTTCAGTTACAGACTTCCACACAAAAGCATGCCTATTGGAATAACCGTTTTCCAACACAGCAGAATGATTTGGTTTTCCAGCATTATGAGACTACCAAACAAGTTTTGTCTTGCATAGGTGACAGCAGTAGAGGTCTCATCTCTATAACTGGCTTTCCAGTCACTCACATGAATCTCAATTTTGGTAGCTGCTTTTGGTTAAGGACATAGCGGTAACCTGCATCTTTTTCAGTTAGGGCCAATTTAGAGAAATACTTAAGTATAGCTTAATTTACACCATATATGTTCCTATTAATGGAAATTATTTTCTATGGTAATTTCTCCCTGACAGGGAGAACACAGCATTATGATGGACTTATTGCTGAGAACTATGAACATCTCTGTGTCAGTGAAAAGACTCTTGAGATTCTTTCACAGATGCTACTAACACCTACCTAACCTGGTCTTACTACTCTGTAGTTCATAAAGTATAATACTAGGAGAATAAGCAGACATTGTTTACAGGTCTTCCAAAAATCTGGTGTGTTAAATAAGTTTCTTCCCTTCCCTCCCTCTCTGCAACTCATTTCAGAACTTACCGACACAAAAGCTTCTGATTTGGTCTCGTTCAGCTGCAGTGTCAGTTTATTCTGAGTATCGTACACTCCATATAGTCTCTTAGACCAACTCGGAGGTATTTTATTCTTGTATCTTAATGAGCTATACAGGGCAAATATCCTTTGTAAATCCAGGACCAGGCAGCTACAGTTGTATACGATGATGCCAAGTTCCTTCATCTGTGAAATTAAAAGTTCATACCATTAGTGATGCTTTGGCTGATGGATCTGTTGAAGTATGCAGCAAGTACATAAAGTTTTCGAGGGGTATCTCCCAGAAGTGTGCCTTGAGCTCAGCAGTAGTATTGTTGACTGCAAGAACACTCCTAACAATACTCTTTTAAAGGCAAACACATAAGCTAAATCTTCAAAGTCAAGAGTGAGCAAAAGCAACGGGGATGTACATTCCATGTATCAGAGCTGCATGTTCTGATAGAATACAACACACCTTAAGGATGGACACAACTTAGGCGTGATACCCATTGGTCATAACTACCATTTTTATTACAGCATACACTGCTACCAGTGACAGTTTCTTACTTCAGAAACAGTTTGTTTTCTGTGAGTTCTGAAAAAAGAAAGCAGATATCAGTTACTTCTCTGCTAGAGAAGGAATGTGATGCTCCAGCTTCAATTGAAAGGATGCAAAACCAGGTGTTTAATACTACCAGTACCTAAATTTACTGTGCTATTAAATCCAGCATGATCCAGTATAGTGTATACACAATTAAGACACAAAAAGGTTGGGTTCTTAACTCCCTCACTGCTATGGTATGGTACCTCACTTAGGTTACTCCAAATTTCTGGGTGACAAGTTTCTTCACATGTAAAAATGGAGATATCATTACTCTTCCCTCATAAGAAGTACTCTGCAAGCATCCACATTCTCATGTACAAAGTATGAGGAAAAATAACCCAAATACATATAGACATCATAGTACAATTAAATACTTTAATCTTCTGTGGACACGGTCTCACTTCTCCATTTAAGTAAAAGCATGTCTCCTGGTCATCATAAATCTTGGTTTGGAAGAGTTTGATTAATTGCACATCCCTAGTACTTAAGTTGCTGACAGAATTTCATTTATAAGCATATTGCCTGGCTTCTGTAATCAAAGTGTAACTGCACACACTCTCTCGCTTCCTTTGCTTTGTAATAACTCAGGAAAGCACTGCTGTGGGCACACATGCTATTGACCTCTCATTATCTGCATTTCACACTACTTCAGCCATCACCAAAAATAAAGTGAGAAGAAAACCTTCATGTATCTGTTGGAAAACAGTATGTAGGATAAATATTTAAAGGATCCATGCTGGTATTTCTGCAAGCAAACTCTCTTGGTAGCATGTCTCAGAAGTCTGCCTGGCATGATGAAGAAGATAAGAAGAGTATCAACTTTCCATATGCTCATCCTTTGACACCAAAAAATCCCCACTCATTTTATTCCCTTAGATGAGGTCCCCGCAGTCATGTGGAGCAGATTCTGGTAGGAGCGTATCTTTTTGTAAAGCCTGTGGGAACTCTGAACCCCACACTAATGTTACCTCAAAGCTTGTTCCTGTGCAGCTCGCCCTGACCGCAGATGAGAACCACTCTGCAAGAGCGGTCAGAGGAAGGGAAGTGAAGGATAGAATTGAACCTTCACTCTCTATGGTGGGTGAAAGGAAACAACACATCCCAGTGCTCCAATGATAAACTCGATGGGTGACAACTTCTTCAGGTCCCCGACCTGGAAATACCACATACATAACATACACCACTGAGTGATCTTATTCCCAAATACTGAATAGTTTCAACCACTGGAACATTACCTAATATCCTTACTGCCTAAATTAAAATATTCCTGCAAGCTTCTTTAATTCAGAAAAAATATGGAATTCCTTCATTAGCCTGTCCAACCTGAAATTTGTGGAGAGTTGGAAAATACTGACTACATGCTGCATTGCAGCCTTTAATTTATGGATAAGCCAGTAAATTCATTTTCATGATAAACACAAATTATTCCAAGCTATGCCCAACATGCTCGTCAAACAGCCTGTTTGGAATAACATCTTTGGTTTTTCCCCTGGGTGCTGATATCTTTGAGGACACTCCTGTATTCAGTTCTAGGGTGTCCCTGTACTCTATGCACTGTTTGTCTCCAAACATTTTTAACTATACATTATCACTGTTTTCACTGTGTGCTGCCAATACTCCTCTCTTAATTGCCAGGCATGCCATTGCAAAGGACTTACTAATAGTATTCTGTTACATGTATCTGCATAATGTGGTTTAATCAGCTTTTCATGGCTGTTAGTTGATTCTGACATAATTATGTGGTTACAGTTTTCCTTTCATTTATCGGTCCCATTATTACTATCCTGCTTTATCCCTTCCATTAAAAGTAAAGATAAAATAGTGTCCTCACAGAACACCAGAAGGTGCCAGGATCCCATCCGCGTGAGCAGCTCTCCTTGGAGCAGGGGTGCTTGCAGTGTGTCCTCTCCCTGTGAATTAAATGATTGCCCTTCTGCCTATGAGAACATGTACAGAGACAGGGAGGAAGCTGAGGGCAGTAATGGGGGGTTTTAAGTGCAGTTTTTACAGATCACCACCTAGTCTGACTGCAAAATGAAGCATTAGCCATGCCTTACTGCCAGCCTCTCCCCACGAACAGAAGCACACGGGGACCAGCCCGTTTTGCCCAGGAACTTGACACTCCCCCATGGGAGCAGATGTCTGCCAGAGCCGCCCTGGCTGAGGCCCTGCCACTCACCCACTCTCAGCGGTTACACTCAAATCGCAGACTGGAACAGAGCCATTTCAAGGGATGTATTTACAGTGCAGTAATGAACCCTGTCTTCCCACAGCGTTGGCTTCTCTGGCGGCAAGCACTGATCAAAGCTTTGCTTGCTTCTGAAGCCGTGATAAGGACTTTGCCCCACTGGATTCCCTGGTACGTGATCCAGGCTGGGCTCCTCCTTTCCCTCTCTGGGAAAACACAATGATCCTCTTTATCCAGCTGACTGTTTTCATTAAGCTTTTATGCACTTAATGTTCAGATTTGACTGAACCTGAAAAGTAGATTCAAAGTTACTGGAAGAATGCAGACAGCAACTCTGATGCTTATTGTGCAGACCTCATTTCCTTAAGAAACCAGGTTAGATGTCAGCCTGTCACCTCATAACCATCTTAGTTTACAGATGATACAACACCTTGGAATGAGAACAAGACAAACAGTCCGCACATGTATGCAGTAATACCCCAGCTGTCTCCTTTCTTGTAGAACAGCCCCAAGAGGTTTGGAAACAACAAAAAAAATATATACTGTTTCAGAAGCGTCTGCCACGCTGAGCCTATTTTTACTCCCACGCTCTGAGGTGAGACTGCTCTTTTTCCAATTAATCACAAAGTCTATCATACTGGAGGCACTGCAGAGAGGGGGCAGCAGGGATATGCTAGAGACAGGTTTAGTATGAAGCAGCATGTCATCTAGATAACGGAAAAGACTTTCTCTTTGGTCTCTAAAAGATAGTGTCAGAGGACCAGCAGAAAAAAACATTTATACTGAAAGAATCATAATCTGAGTGTTGCTCCCTGGCTTGTAGTGACTGAAACCTGCAGCTAAGCATCATCTGAAGTATCTGTTAAGGTAAAATCCTTCAGGGCAAGAGCTCTTAAGGCAAGGTTAAGTATTTCTTCATCCTGAGTTTTAAAAGCAACTAATACAGTAATGAAAACATTACTTAGAAAATTAAAGTGAAGAAGATCTCAAGAAATCAAAACCTTAATTAAACTAAGGAAGATAAATCTGGAATAAAAATAAAGAGTCACAAATTTGATTACCTCAAAATGGAACTGAAATATTTGGATGTTAAAGTTGCAGCATTGCTTATGAATGATGTTTTCAGGGCATGTGCTGGGGACTAGAATGTTTTTCTGGATAGAGCATTTTGTGTCCTCTCATGAGCAGGTTTCTTTCCCTCTTTGATAAGAGCCACCATGAGTGCTCTTTTCAAAGAATGAAAAACATGGTAGCTGTTTTTCCTTGTTCTTCCCCAAGACATTCACATTTGTGCGGAACAACTGTTAAAGGCTACCAAATCAATGGTTCTCTTCCTTGTCAATAAGGGCTTTCTTAAAGCACCAGAGAAGTGAATGGCTACACAAGGCTCAAGAAATGGTGGCTTAAACCCACTGTACAACGACGCTCTAACTACAGGAATCAGTGAAGCTACAAGAAGTAATATGGCCTAGCTAGAAAAATAGTGATTATTATGATAAGGGGAGGAATTCCTTACTAGACTGGACAAAGAGCAAGATTTCACAGACAGGAATTTTTGCTTGTACATTTGTAGGCATCATATACAAAATGAAAAAAACCACAGGAAAAGAAGCTAAACAATACAGATTGTGGGCCCATAACAGTGTAAGCTTCCTAAACTGAGAAAGAGTGTTAGCAAGACTTCTCAAATACATTTGGATCATGGGTTAGACAGGGTGTACGATGTGTCCTTATCCTGCACCGTGCAGACTAGACAGTGTGGTTTATATTTACCTTGAGCTACACGCTAAGAGACAACCCCACTGTGTAGGCAAGGTACTATTTGACCTACATAAGAGTGGCACAATCTGGTTCACAGCTTGCAATATCTGAATTATGGCAAATGTAGCAGGAGGCTTTAGAAAACTCCCTGTTAATTTATTTTAAAGAAAAAGTTTTTAGTAATTGCTCACACTTGAGCCTGATCCTGAAAATGATAGGCAACTTTCCTCAGGCATTAACGGCCATTTGCCCAGAAGTTCTGGCCACTGGCAGGGGCTGTGCAACCATTGCCTGTGCTACAGAAACTCTGGATTAACTACAGGTAGTCTATCGCACACTAAATGTACTCAGTAGACTTTTCATATACAGGACTGTTTATGCATCTCACATTTGCTTGTGTTTGAAAATGTACTTAATTATCCTCTTCAAGCCTGTGACTTTTAATGACCAATTTCCAAATGAATGACCAAGGAAAACCAGAATCACAACAGGGGCAAGTAATGGAGTACCAAAAAGCATCCTATACTGATTAATCAATTACTAAGGCCTAAAAGGATCTAAGATTTCCAACAGATTCTAAAGAAAAATAATATACAATGTATTAATTACCACCTTAGAGCCAACCATGGCTATTTACAGCGGTAATCTCATTAT